CCATCTGAGGTGGAGCCATGCCATCCTTCATGGGATGTAGGGTAAGCAGGCATTTCTCTCCCTCGTCATAGATCTCTGAAACGAGAGTTCAAATCTTTCCCATCTTGAAGGGGCTTGTGACCAGTGACATTATCCCAGAGGCAATCAAGAGTCTGCTGCGAAGTGTAGCTGAGTATTTCCTGGCAGATGTCGGTGGACGAAGCAACATGCCAGTTCGAGGAGGAGGAGGAGGCAGAATGAAATCATCTTTGCCCCCCATTGTAGTTGGGGAAGTGGGAGGAGGAGGATGAAGGGGGTGGGGGAGGTAGGGGAGAAACGAGCGGGAGCGGAAGGAGGGAGAGGGGGGGGAGGGCAGGAGGCACCTGAAGCAGTTCTCTTCTCTCCCGTCACCAGCGCGATCTCCCCGAAGATATGTCCCTCCCCGAACCTCGTGACGTGGTGGCCCTTGACGTAGATGTCCACCTCCCCGTCGCACACGCAGAGCATGGTTTGACCCTCCTGTCCCTCCAAGAGGATGGCGAAGTTCTGCGGGTAGCTGCAGGATGGAGCGGTAAGTGAAGGAGAGCAGGAGGAGCAGGAGCAGAAGCAGGAGCAGGAGCAGGAGCAGGAGCAGGAGCAGGAGGTACTGGGGGCGAGAAGGAGGAGTGGACCTGATGAACTTGACAGACTTCGCAAGCTTGTCTAGCTCAGAGTCGCCGAGTTGGCTCAGGATCTGACTGTTGCGGATGATTCTCTGCTCGCATGAGTCAGCGGAAGCAGGAGAGAGCGATGATGGTGTAGGGGGATATGAGAGGAGGAGCGTGTGGAAGGACGCAGGGAGGTGGAGGAAGGTGCAACCAGGAGAGATCGAGGAGAGGAGCGATGGGAGAGAGATGGGAAGAACGACGAGGGAGGAGGGAAGGATGAATAAGAAGAGAGTGATCAAGGAGGAGGAGGAGGAGGAGGAGGAGGAGGAGGAGGAGGAGGAGGAGGAGGAGGAGGAGAGGGAAGGATAGGTAGGAGTTAAGGGGGAGGAAAGACTGATGGCATCCGCACCACTAGCGTGCTCTTGGACACGCCGTTGTTGGATGAAGGTTTCTCCTTGGGGTGAGGAACGTCTGAAAGATATTGGGGAGCCTGGAGGAGCTGCTGAGAAACTTTCCCCAATCCTCCCCTTCCCTCTCCTCGCTCCTTGCTCCTTGCTCCTCCTCTTCATCCTCCTCCCCCTCCTCCCGCCCCCATCCCCCTTCATCCTCTTCCTCCTGCCTCCCATCCTTCATCCTCCCCTTAGTCGTTCCCTTCCCTTTTTCCCTTCCTCCCCTATCCCTGCTTCTCCTCCTCCTCCTCCTCCTCCTTCTCTCTCCCCTCCCTCAATTCTCAGCTACCTGCTTTCCTCGCTGTTGGCGTGCCGCCTGAAAGAAGTTGAGAATGAAAGTGAGAAAGAGGAGGAAGAGGAGGAGGGGAGGGAGAGAACGGGAGGAACAAGATTAAGAAAAGAAAACGAGGACGAGGACGAGGACGAGGACGAGGACGAGGACGAGGACGAGGACGAGGACAAGGACAAGGAGGGATATGGAAGAGAGGCGAAGGCAACGGGTAGTATGGGCCTCACCTCAAGGCTCTGCCGAATCTTCTCCTCTTTCTCAGTCTACGTTCAGTGATCAGGATGGTGAGGACAAGGACAAGGACAAGGACAAGGACAAGGACAAGGACAAGGACAAGGACGAGCATGAGGAGGAGGAAGACGAGGAGGAGAAGCAGGAGGAGGTGCTGGTGCTGGTGCTGGTGTAAGAGGACTAGGAGGACGAGGAGAGGACGAGGATGAGGAAGATGACAGTGAAGTCGAGGACGAGGACGAGGAGGACGAGGACGAGGACGAGGAGGTGGTGGTGGTGGTCTCGCGATGTTTTACCTTCCTCTGCATCTTCTCCAAAAGCTTCTTTTCTGTCAGCCTGTCAGGTCGGAGCATCTCCAGCAGGAAGGAAGGAGAAATCCAGGATGGAGGAGGAGGTGAAAGATGAGCAAACAGTGAGCAGGCAGAGGGAGAGAGGGAGGGAGGAGAGGAAGTGAAGAGAGGGGGGAGCAGAGGAGGAGGGAGGGAGACGGAAGAGAGAGGAGGGAGGGAGGAGCAGGGAGCAGGGAGCAGGGAGCAGGGAGCAGGGGACCGTACCTCTCTCCTCCTTTGGGACAGCGATCGGTTTGTTTACTCCCTGCACAAGCTGATTGACCGCAGGAGGCAACTGAAGCTGAGTGCTCTTCCTCCTCTGTTGGCTCCTGGACTACTCGTCATTCTTCCTACCTCCCTCCCTCCCTCCCTCCCTCCCTCCCTCCTCCTCTTCCTCCTCTTTGAGCTCCCTCTACTTCCTAGCCTCTTCTTCCATGTCCTCCTCTCCCTCTTTCCTATCCATCTGCTCATGCTCCTTCCATTTCTACACCCAACCTCCTCTTGTCCCCCCCATCTCACATTTTCACTCGCTCGAGGATGTCTCCTGTCTCCAACTTCCACTTGCGGAAAGCTTTTCCTGCGCATCAAGGCTGAACAGAAGAAAGAGGAACTAAGGAAGGATGAGGATGGGACATTCAGGGATGGCAGAGAGGCGGGAGTATCAAAGGCGGCGCTGGCGGCAGCAGCAGCAGCAGCATCAGCAGCATCAGCAGCAGAAGCAGCAGCAGCAGCAGCAGGAGCAGCAGGAGCAGCAGCAGCAGCAGCAGCAGCATCAGCAGCATCAGCAGCAGGAGCAGGAGCAGGAGCAGCGGGAGCCGAGAGGTCAAGTAGGAAAGGGATGACCTGAGACTCGATAGGTCCAGTGGTGCATTGCCTTCTCGAAGAGGAGGTACCTCTTCCTCAGCGCTACCTGCAGCAGCATCGTCATCCTCCTCCTCCCTTCGGCTCTCCTTGCCCTTCTCCTCTCCTCTCTCCTCTCTCCTCTCTCCTCTCCTCTCTCCTCTCTCCTCTCTCCTCTCTCCTCTCTCCTCTCTCATCTCTCCTCTCTCCTCTCTCCTCTCTCCTCTCTCCTGTTCTCTTCAGATGCCCCTGGTGCAGCACTCGCTCTCCTTCCAGGGTGTCCTGCTCAAAATTTCCTCCAAGATCTTCCTCACCCGCGTCTTCTCGTCGTCTTGACTTCTGTACAGTTTCAACGTGTCCTCGACGGCATCCAGGCAAGAGCGGAGAAAAGGAGCGCTCTGTGCGGAGGGCAGCTGGTGAGAGAGAGAAGGAGCCGACGGGTCATGAGAAGGTTGGAAGTGCACGCAGATCACGATGTACGGCAGGAGAGGGAGGGAGGGAGCGAGCAAGCGAGCGAGAGAGAGAGGGAAGGAGGGGGAGAGGCAAGGACGGAAGGAAGGAAGGAAGGAAGGGGAGAAAGGGGAGAAGAGGAGAGGAGGAGGGACCTTGCTGGTGGAGGGGATATGAAGGGCTCCATCTCCATCTATCCTGCTGAGCTCCGACTGCCGAGTGGTGAGATAGGAAGCAGCGGCTGCGAGCAGACCCGGAGGAACTTCCTAGTGTGCTCGAGCGGATCGACTTCCTCCCTTCCCGCAAACGCCTCCTCCTCCACTTGCCTGTACGAGATGAGGAAAGAGGAGGGGGCAAGACGGGCATTGTGGAGCAGATGGGAGGTGGGAGGAAGGAGGAGGGAGAGGGAAGGAAGGGGAAAGGCAGAGAGATGAGGCCCGCTTACTGTGATGCTGTACAAAGAAGAAGAGGGAAGGGAAGAAAAAGTAAGGGGAGGGGGAAAGTAGAATGACAGAGGAGAAGAGGGGGAGAGGGGGCGGACAAGAAGGGTCAGAAACAGCAGAGATCAGGTTGCTGGACACGACAAACCTTCTGTCTTCGTTTCCTCTTGCCTTCCTTCACTCTCAGTCGTCTGCATCATCCACCATGTCAGGATGCAAGTCTCTTCCTCAAAAGCTATGCTCCTGCTCCTGCTCCCGCTCCTGCTCCTGCTCCTGCTCCTGCTCCTGCTCCTGATCCTGCTCCTGCTCCTGCTCCTGCTCCTGCTCCTTCCAGACCTGGTCGTCCTCTCCCTCCCCTTCCCCTCCCTTGCTCCTCACCCTCATCACTGCATGGAGGTAGCGAAAGTTCTCCACCCTCATCATCTTGACGAACTGATTCGACAGCTCCAGCAGCGTCGCGTTGCACTTCCTGCACCTGCTGGGGGTCAGCCCAGACCATGGAAGGCAGCACAGAGCCGAGGACGAGGAAGGCGGAGAAGGGGCAGGGGGGCGAGAGGAAAGTGGAACACCGCAGAGAGCGGAGGGAGGAGGGGGACGGAGGAGCGGGGTGTTCGAAGAAGGGACAAAGTAGAGGGGGAGGGAGGGAGGAGGGAGGGGAGGAGGGAGGGAGGAGGGAGAGAGGAGGGAGAGAGGAGGGAGAGAGGAGGGAGATTATGGAGGAAGAGAAAGGGAAGTGAATTCTGCATCCATCCACCTGCTGTCCTTCTTCAGGATATCTGACTCAAGCACACCCTGCGAATTCATCAGGGAGGTAGGGAGAGGGAAGGCAGGAAGGAGAGGAAACGAAAACCAGCACAAGAGCTGAGGAAAGGGAAGGATATGGATGAAGGGATCATAAAGGAGGAAGACCAGGAGACGGAAACGAGCAGCATGACGAACAGGAGGAGGAGGAGGAGGAGGAGGAAGGGAGGAGCAACAGCAGCAGTAGCAGTAGTACAGGACCTGCTTGCGGAGGAACGCGACCTCTCTTACACAGGCCTGGCATTTCGGCTGAAAGACCCAGGGGTCCACCTGACATGACAAGATGAGGAGGACGAGGGGGTTAGCGTGAGGGACAGCAAAGGGAGGCGAAAATGGAGAGGGGAGGGAGGGATGAAGAGAAGGAGGAACAGGGGGAGAAGAGGAGGAATGGGGAAGGAGGAGGTGGTGAGTGAGGGAGGTAAACCTGAGATGAGAACCGTCCCTTCTTTTTCTGGCCTGAAACAAGAAGAAGAAGAAAGGTGTTATCCCCAGCCTACTCCTTTCAACCCCCGCTTCCTTCCCTTCCCTTCCCTCCCTCCCTCCCTCCCTCCCTCCCTCCCTCTTTCTTCCCCTCCTACCTCCATGCCCTCCTCCTCTCGTACCCAATCCATCCCACCTCCTTCCTCCCTTCATCCAACTCTCTCGCTCTGCTGCACCCACTCCTCCACCGCTCACCGTCGTTACTCTTGGTTGTCATGGGCCGGATGCAGAACTCCTTGTTGAGCACCTGGAGCTTGTCCAGATGGCTCTCGATCCTCTTGCTCGAGTTCATCATCTCCTCCACGAACGTCTCTCTGCCCACCAACTCCTCCTCCTCCTCCTTCCCCATGTCGAAAACTGATTGGGACCTGCAGCATTCCCGTCATCCCTCCCTCTTCCCGCTGCGCAAATAGCAGCTGACAGGAGCCGTAGAGCACGGCAAACTCCCTCCGTCCCTCTTCCCCCCCCCCACAAAACAAAGTTCCTTCCTCGCTACTACATCGCATGCGCTGCGTTGAGATCTCCTACCTAAGGCCCAGGGCAATTGACTGCGAGGGAGGAGCAAGGGATTTCGTCTTGCTCCCCTCCACGCGGAAGTCAGAGACAGAGAGCGAGCGGCCATGGAAGCTGAAGTCGAGGGAGGACGTCGTGACGTCTGCAGTCTCGTCGTGCTGGTTGGAGGAGGCGTCTCTGCTCCCAGTCTCACCACCCTCTCCGCATCCTCCCGTGTTCTCACAGTTCGTTGAATGCTTTCCTGCTCAAACTGTTAGAAGCTTTCAACCGTAAAGGCTGCCCAGCCGCTCGTTACCGGGCTGCTGCAGAAGCCTTACGCTTGTTGTCGAGGTTGAGCTGTTGAGTCCAACGTCTCAGGGTCCACCAGGGAGAATGTACCCATGGAAGCTTACAAGAATGGCATCGCTCGTCATCGTCCTGCTTCGAAGAGAGGAAGGAGTAACCCTCGACTTCTTCATCCTGAGGTCGTGTAAGCAAGTCCTTACAGACGCTCTTCCCTGTTGGCCGTCGACAATCGAAGAATGATCATCACATCGGCCTTATACAACGGCAGCCCCCGCCACTCACCTTCGAGCACTCACCGTACGTTTGACTCCTTCAGTTCAAGTGAGGACTGGCAGAGTCCGTCAGTCACCGCTAACAGTCTTCGGCAGGTATCCGTTCCTGCTCTGTCTGTCTGTCTGTCTGTCTGTCTGTCTGTCTGTCTGTCTGTCTGTCTGTCTGTCTGTCTGTCTGTCTGTCTGTCTCTGTCTCTGTCTCTGTCTCTGTCTCTCTAGCTATCTATCTATCTATCTAGCTATCTCTCTCCTGCCATGACGCCTCACTTACTGGGCCGCTGTCAGTCTCCTCCCCGGGCCTTCAATGTGAATCTCCCGCCGCCGCCGCAATGATGTCCATATTTCATCAAGGAGTCAACTGACGACTGTAAACGTTTTACTCACCTGGAGGGGACAAACAGAAGACAGTCCGCCTCAGAGATAGAGAACAAGGAAAAAGGAGGCAGCGGTTGAAAAAGGCTGCATCGCGGGCACCGTGTGCAAGTTCAGTGACCCCGCTCACCGTACCGTACGGTAGTGACCGACAGACCGTACGGTGCCACTCGCTGAGCGGCACGCCAGGCCCGGAGCCGCTCAGGCTCAGTGCGGCCGGGCTGGGCCCGGCCGCACTGAGACCGGCGTGTCACGGCCCGGGCCGAGCCTCCCGGCCGGGAGTCAGGGCGGCCCTGGCTCTTCCCGGGACTGCACCACCCTCACCCCCTATGACTGAGATCATCATTTGAATAGATTATTTTGAAACTTGTACACAATTTCAGTCATTTATAACACTTGAAGGTACCAAGTTCAATTTGAGTAAAATAAGTGATTATCATCTGCTACCAGAGTTGACTGATAGTTTGATGTTTCAGAACTTTCCAACTTGCGTACTCCAAAAGTTCCAGAAATCGTATCATGACGAGAGGTGGGGTAGGGGTACCTACCCCTACCCCATAATATAACATGTTATCAGTAATATGTAGGGGTACTTATGCGCCTTTGCAGTGGTCCTGAGTCGCATGCCTCTGGGGAAAGGCGGGGTGGGGGTTCAGCCTGAGATTTGTGCGTGGGGTACAAAAAGCATTGAGGACATCCGGGAGGCGGAATAGAAGGGTAGGGGGGTGGTCAATTTCTCAGCCGGTAGGTGCTGAAAGAAAATTTGATCTACTACGGGGTAGTCACATAAATATACTATAAAGAAGGGGGTATTTTGAGATCCAAAAATAGGCTTAAGATAGGGTGAAGAAAACGTTGGGTGGGTCATATAGGCTCAAACACTTCGTGGATGGGTGGGGGGTAGGTAACATGCTCCTTCATGCTCTCGTCGAAAAAATAGGGGTAGTGGTTAGACCATGGATTGCTAAATGGATGGGTGGGGTGGTAGTAGACCCTGCTGCCGCGCGCCGCGAATCCGCTATGGAAGCCAAGATAGGGAGGGAGGAGAGGGAGGGGAGAGGAGAGGAGGGAGATGAAGAGCGAAGTCTGAGATGAACGTCATGTCTTCGACTTGTTTCCAGAGTTCCATGTGCGCGGCTAACGCTGGCAATGAAAGGCCCGCGCTCCGGGGCCACCGGGCGCAAGGCGGGGGGAAGTTACTTGCTGGGTAGATGAGGGGCTACAAGAGGAGAGGGACTTGAAGCATGAGTACAGTAGGGCCATGCATGAAGTTAGTGATATGAACGTTCGATGCTGATCGCCTCACAACGCACAGGGCTGCTCACGTTTGACCTGTGTTGCAGGAAGTGAACCCGTTTGCTCGCCGCCCAACGTCTACACGCACTTGATCAGTGCAAAACCGAACCAGGGAGAGGTCGAACAACTGAACATGTCGTCAAGCCAGAACGGTGGCTCTGAGAGCGGAGAGCCGAGGAGGAAAAGCAGGTGGGGGAGCAAGTCCGATGCCGGGGAGGAGGGGGCTCCCAAGAAGAAGAGCAGGTGGGGTTCCAAGGAGGAAGCGCCTGCCATCTCTCTCCAGTCTTCGGCGTTGTCAGCTGCGGCAGGATTGAATCCTGACCAGCTCAAAGTTCAGCAAAGATTGAACGAGATTCAGAGGCTTCTTGCCATGCCTAAGTATGAGACAAGCCATCAGTGCTCTGAGATGTTCTGGTGCTGACTTGTGGTTTGACAGCTTGGAGACGGCGCAAATGGCCGAAAGATATGACGCTAACAAAGGAGATTGGATTGTGATCGAAGGAGGAAGATCTCCCTCGCCAGAGCCCGTTTATGACAGGACGGGAAAGCGTATGAACACCAGGGATATGCGCCTCAGAGAATCGCTGCAGAAAGAGAGGTTGGCGCTTGTTGAGAAGCTCATGAAATTACAGCCCAATGCTCCCAACATGACACAATTCAAGTTCTCGAATATGAGCAAGGCTTCGAATAAGATCTACATTCCTGTTAAGGAGTACCCAGGTTATCCATTCATCGGCCTCATCCTGGGTCCTCGTGGAAACACTCAGAAGAAGTTAGAAAGAGAAACTGGAGCAAGGATCGTTATTCGCGGAAAGGGCTCAGTCAAGGACGGCAGAAAAGGATTCAAGGGCAATGATCCCTCTGAGGACGAAGACTTGCACGTCTTGATCACCGGAGATACTCAGGAGCAGGTGACAAGACCCGCACAGTTCCATGTCAGCCCTGACTTCGATGTAGGTCGACGCTGCTAGCAAGATCATTACAGAGCTGTTGACTCCCAAGGAAGATGCAGAGAATGAATGGAAGCGTATGCAGCTCAGAGAGTTGGCATTGATTAATGGAACTTTGAGAGACGACCAGGACTACTTCAAGTGAGTGGTGCCATTCTCTACTTGTCTCGGCTGACCCTTACGTTCGACAGGGACGAAATGAGACAGCTTGCTAGGACGCAACAGACAGGCCTGGGTAGTGGGGCAACAGCGGATGCCCCTTGGAGGCTCAACATTGATCAGCAGGAGCAACAGATGCAGCGAGATTGGTCACGAATTCACGGAGAAGGAGACAATCAGGGCGGCGAGATGGATAATGAGTATTCACAGTTCATGGACGAGCTTGGAGGGAAGGGCTCTGGACCCAAACCTCCTCGAAGCGACAATCCATACGGTCTTCCCGGTGGTGGACCTGGACAGGCAGGACAATCTCCATACGGTCCGCCAGGAGGCGGTGGAGGTGGTGCTGGAGCTGGAGCTGGGCGTGGAGATATCTCGGACACTAATGTATATGTTGGAGGATTGCCACCAAGCTATGACGACCTTGACCTCCGCAACCTGTTCAAACAATTCGGTGAAATCGTGAACTGCAATGTGCTCAAGGACAAGAACACTGGTCTGAGCAGAAACTTTGGCTTTGTTCACTTCACGAAGCCAGGCGATGCTTACGCTGCCATCCAGGTCTTTTTGTGTTTCCCCGTCCGCATGTTGGTGCACTGACAAACCTTTCAAGTCGATGAACGGCATGCAAGTAGACGGCAAGACGCTGCAAGTGAGACTGAAAGGAGCTCCCGCCAATGCTCCGCTCGGCTTCAGCGGCGGTGGTGCTCCTGGAGCACCTCCTTGGGCTGGTCGTGGCGGTGGAGGCTATGGGCCCCCGCCGGGTGCTCCTGCGCCTTATGGTGCGCCGCCATGGGGAGGTGAGAGAGATCTTGTCGGCTTGTTGCTTCTTTGACTCCCCCTCCAGCTGCCGCTCCGCCATGGGGGGCTCCTCCTCCAGGTTGCCGTCACGTGACCTGCACGTTCATGGAGCTGACTTGCTGCAGGTGGCATGCCTCCTTGGGGTGCTCCGCCTCCAGCTGGATACCCTCCCCCAGCTGGGGACCCCTACCAGCAGTACTATGGTCAACCCATGCCCGGGTATGACCAGTACCAGCAGGGGTATGGCTATCCTCCTGCACCGGGTGGTGAGCAGGGCTGGGGTCAAGCGCCGGCCGGCGGGCAAGAAGGAGGCAGAGGTCAACCAGGGATTGACTCGGAGTACGCGCAGTTCGTCTCAGAGACAAGTTGAGGAGGATGGTACGGCGCTTGTGCTTGTACGAAAACGTGATAAATCGTCTGAACTGTTGAGACGTCCGACAGCAAGAAGAGGCAACTTTAGCTTGAATCTATTCAATTTACAAAGACAGTTGAATCATCGTACATCTCGGCGATTTCATGAGCGACTGTTAACACTGAAAACCCTCCTGCCCTTCAAGAGGAGATTCGAGCCTTCTTCGCCTCGGGTTCGTCATCGTGATTATCTTCTGAAACGTGCAAGTCAGACCAGTGATCAAAATGCAAAACAGAGGAAGGGGAAGTGTGGGAACAAGGTCACAACGCTCTGTGTGGATCGACGGACAGATCCGGGAATGGGGGACAATTGTAGCGAAGTGACAAGGGTCTGGACAGGAACTGATGATTACCTTTGGAAGCATCCTTCTTTGCACCATTGATCTCTACGTCCTCCTGCAACAGCTATCAGCTACACACCAACATCGAAACCTCCTCCTCCTTCGCCGCCGACTCGCGCTCCAAATCCCCACGCATCCCTCCTGCCTCTTCCCTCCCCTCCATGTCAACCTTGTCAACGTCCTCGTACGTGTTCAACACAGCAGCCAACCCAGAGGACTCCTGACTGAGGCTCGTGCTTGACTTTGACATCTCCTCTAGCACTTCCTTGCTCACGACAGGCCCATCGTTGTCGTCATCCTCGTCGAAGTAGCTCTCGTCGTCGTCGTCGTCTAGTCGGGACCTGAGCAACAGGTTCAGACCCACCGAGCTGCAAGAGGACGGTCTACCGGAAGCTCCCAAAGCCTCCCCGGCTCCGACCACTAGGGTTTGAGCTCTCCCTGCCCTTTCCACTCCTGTTGGCATTGGCGTCACCATGATCAACCTACAGGGAGAAAACAACTGAAATGCTTACCATGAAGAATGCCCATCTTCAGATCCCACCAGCCCATTCGCCTTGTCCTTCTCAAACTCTTGGTTCTGATCGTACTTGATGATTATCAACTTGAATGTCTCGACGTAATCTATGTGCTCGAACACTTGCCGGTACTTCTCCACAATGTACTTGATCAGAATTTTCATGTTTTTCACTCTGATGTGATCAAACAGCTCAATGATCGCTGAGTTGACAAGATTGTTGCGATACAAATGCTGCTTCAGCAGATGTACAACCCCTGAGAACAGATCGTTCTTGACGATGCTTCTGTTGTAAAACGAGTTGTTGGCACCGACGCACTGCCGTAGGAACTTCAAAGCAGCAAGCACCAGGTGCTTGTTTGGTTGGCGGAACAGTTTGAGGACCTTGTGGAGAACGTCGTGTCTCTTCATGTACAACATGACTCGCGGTTCGTGATGCTCGATGCAGAAGGAGAGCAGCTCCACCACATGCTTCCTCGCACAGTCCCAGCATTCCTTCCTCTCCCGTTTCGAGATAGACCCTTTGAGGTTCACTGACCGCTCGTTCGATTTCGTCTCGTCCTTGCCCGAGCTCGCCGAGTTCTGGACCAGCTCGCCATCCTCAGTGAAAGAGTCTTCCGACGTGAAGGGAGACATCAGAGTGTCCATGTGGTGGAGGTAGAACGTCTCCAGGAGCCCGTCTCTCTCGACCGGGCACCCAAAGGTTGTCGAGTCGAACAAGCACCGCAGGATCTCAGTGATCTGCGCTTTGAGCCCAACGTCCTGGAAGAAGAGAAGGCCTTGGATGAGATTCTTCAGCAGGTTGTCCCCTTCCTCGCTGTTGATGTACGAGCGGAGCAGCTGAGGGTCGTGGTTGAGAGTGCAGAGCATGATATCTGTACTTGCCGACACGATCGTATTGTCTTCCGAGTTGACACCATTCTGGAGAATCGAGAACAAGCCGTGTGAAGATATTGACCTGAAGAACGCCATCTGAGGTGGAAGCTGGAGGGGCTTGGCGATTTCCAGCAGTTCACGCAAGAACAGGAAGCCATTCCTCTTCTTCTCCGACAAGTTCATTCCGTTCTTGGCTTCTGCCTTGGGGGTTGAAGGCGAGCGGCAGAGCTCGAAGAGCTCCTCCAGCATCGCGGAATCGGATTGAATCTGAGCGATGATTTCGACATTGTTGAGCAAGATCAATTCTCGTATAGTGCTGAAAGACACATCGTCTATATACCTTGCCATCACCACATCCTTCAGGTATGTGAGCCGGAAATTGAGATGAATCTTAAAGAGGATGGCTGGACTCTTGATGGGAACAGCCTCTTTGAACAGGTTGGGATTCTTGAGGTACTCGCGGTGCTTGACCGTGTGATTGGAATACTCCGGGTCGTACTCCAGAATCCCCATCGTGTCGAGCACGTTCTGGTCGGAGAGGCACAGCTCTATGAGAGAGGGCTCGTTCAGCATTATGAGACCCTTAAAGATCTTGAACAACGTGTGCAAAGACTGCTCCATCTCAAGGTCCTCACAAGTCCTGAAGATCTGATAGATCTTGGCTAGGTACCCATCCTGCATCACCCCGTCCACTATGCGGTCACGAGTCACACTGGTTGCGCTCGAGACGATCTCTTGCAGCTTCTCCAGGTTCTCCATCTCGGGTTGCGGGAGGCTCATCTCATAGAAGTCGTCTGAGTTGTGCAACACTCCGCTGCTGTTGTTGCCCGAGTTATTCTCCGTGTCGCACTCTTCGCTGGAATTCTTCCGCAACCTGCTCTGCACCTGACAAATAATATTCCAGATCTCCTTGGCTCCATCGGCCTCTTGGAAGCTCAATGCCACATCCTCCCTCGTCTCGGGGTTCGTCCACGTCACAATGGTATCACCCTGTCGTTGAAACACATCCTCCTCGAAGATCTTGGTCATCAAAAGATCCTTGCTGTCGTCTGCCTCCGAGGTGACCCGCAGCCCCTCAACAGCCCCGTTCCCTTGGACGAACTGGTAGGAGACATAGCCAGTCCCCCGGTCATCCCACTGCCCATCTCCTCCGAGGACGTACAGCTTGACCCGTCTGATCTGTTTGAAATAATTGCTGGTGGTGCTAGACTCCCCCTCCTTGTTGTTTGACATTCTGTGAATGTGGTTACAGGGTTTGTTGGCTGCTCACAACCTGCCACACAGCAGTGTCAACACGCGTCTACCTTCATAGAAGGAAATACACACCTCGCCATGTTCTTCCCTCCCTTCCCAGACAACTGTCACAAAACCTTCTGTCAGCAATCGATCCAGGAACGAGGGAGCGAAGTAATGAAAAAGGCGCAAGGATCTAACGAATTACTCCTCCATTATGGAACGGATCGGAGTCTCACACCTTGTAGGATACTACTATCTAAAAGAAAGCAGACCAACAGAAATTTGATTTGAGGGAGAAAAAGAGAAGTTCAGATCTTTCATGCAAGCACCATCTAACCCCACTGTTTGCAGACATACGACTGGGACTCAAAGAATCTACTCCGCCTAAAGTTCAACGTTGTTGAAACATCCACGTATCTGAATTAAAGGGCATCGTAACAAAATGTCCTCTGCTGTCTAGAAACTATCACGAGTACTCGGTAGCAGCTACAAGCAACTGAGCCATTGTCCTCATAACGTGACAACATGCCACCGAGATCCAGCCTTCACTCTCCAGCGTGAAAACATTATGCCAATCTGACTGAGAAAAGTACACAGCATGGTACTAAAACTTAGTGCCCATGTCGGAGACCATGCCAACTAAGCGAAACCGTCCTTTTCTGCAGTCTGAGAGCGCGCAGCCTTTTATAGGCGTCCTCATTTCTACTTTGCCACTTCTCACAGTTAATTTTGTGCGGATACGCTTCTTGAACTGCCTCCCTCACTGCAAACAAAGCCACCATGTCGCCTTTTCACCCTGATCTAACTTTCCTGCGCTTGCTGCGTGCATTTGAACTCTCTTACGCCTTCCCAAGGACAACCGCATCCAGCGCTTTCTCAGACCATCCAGCCCAGTCTCCTCGTCCTACTCTTCCTCTTGTTTCGAGCCATCGCTACCTCCTCCTCCTCCTTCGCTTCCCTCCCCTCCTCCCCCTCCTGCATCCCGCCGCCGCCGCTTCCTCGCATGCTTCACTGCAAGGGAGGGTGGGGGTGGGGGGTACAAATCCACAATACATGGGGTGGTCCTAGAGATGGGGTAGGGTACTAAGATTAGGATTTGGTAGAAGCACAAGGGGAGATCATGAGGGGGGGTACTATATCCTCTAAAGTTTCCTCGGGCGTAGGGGTAGTAGAAATCTCGGAGGTGGGGGGTCATCTTCGACCAGGGGATAGGGTCCTGAAATTTTTTGACGATGCCGTAGGGAGGTCCTAGAAAGGGGATAGGGAGGGACAGAGAATATGGGAAGGGCTAGAAAACAAGGGGGTCCTGCTCTGGGTCGGTGCCAGGGTAGAGTACCACCTACAATACTTTTAACAGAAAAAAGAAAATCATTTTTCTTTTTCTTTCTGTTTTTTTTAATTTTTTGTTTCTTTTCGCGTTCTTTGTGTTGGAGGGTTCCCAGATGAGATACAGTCCGGGCGATCCATGGAGGGGAAGTGAGGGGACGAGGACGAGGACGAGGACGAGGACGAGGAAGAGGAAGAGGAAGAGGACGAGGACGAAGGGGAAGGGAGAAGGGGAGGGGGGGACCAGGAGGAAGGGGAGAAATTCGATCCCCCGGGGGGATGCGGAGTTGGAAGGAATGGGTAGAGAAGGAGAGAGCGGGAGTGACGGAGCAGGCTGCGGCGGAGGCAGCTGATGGTGCGAGGGAGGAGGGTTAGTCGGAGGTTTTTAATGCACAGGATGAATGAATAAAGAAATAGCACAAGGGGCCCTACGAGGCCTTGAACGAGGGGATCAGGGTCAAGTCCCCTGCCTCCTGCCCCAGGTCCAGGATGGTCGTGACGGTCGGGTCCTGTTCGTCGCCGACGATGCGGATGTTGGACTTCTGACGCCAACCCCAGGAGAATGCCTTGGCTAGAGAAGATCCTTTGTGCTGCCACCCGGGAGATTCAGCGCTGGTGGAGCAACAGGAGGGAGGAGCGAGGAGGGGAGGAGGAAGGTGCGGGGGATGAAGCGAGAGTGAGGGGTAGGGGAGCGGAGGGGAGCGAAGAATCACCGTATCTTGGACGAGCTGTCCGTTGCGTGATCGGATCTTGACAGGGGAGGAGGACTTGTCGTAGCGGCGGATCTGGTCCGCGCACAGTCAACAAGACAACCCGAGCATGCAGAGAGCAACGAGCACTCACAGTGGCGCTGACCAGCTTGTAGTGCTTCCATTCCATGTCCACCTGCTCTTACGTCAGCAGCTGCTGCTGCGCCAGCGCCATCGCTGAGGACCGAGATGCCGCAGCGGGTGCGGAGCCCCCTGACCGACCCGTCGCTCCAGTCCGACGGAACTGCTGGGAGCAAGTCGATCTCGCAGACGCTCTCCGAGGGATGGGAGCACCTGGCGCAGGAGGTCACTTGCTTGTGGTCCCGGGGGTAGAGCGACTGAGAGCGACTACCTGCAGCTCGGCTGCTCCACTTGTGACTGGTCCTTGGACTGCTCCTTGGTGAAGGACCAGGGAGGCAGGAGCAACCTGCCAACCGTCACTCCCGCGCAACCTCGACCTCTCTGACGCACATGGGGAGGAGGCCGCTGTGCAGCCCAGCCTGCTTCGCCGTCTTGTCCGCCGACGGCGATTCGGCTGTCGAGTTAAGGCTGAAGGGGGCATTGATCACAGGGACCTGAGAGGGGACGAAATTGAGAGCAGGAGATTAAACAGCAGCCTTCGTACATCACTCGGAGGGCTCACGATCGGGAGACCAGTTGAGACGTTGACTGAGCTCGGAAGGTCGGAGCTGTTGCCTCCATCTTGCGCGGACGCATTCAGGAGGGCGCGGGTGCGATGCCGCCTGCGGTCATTGAGGAGGTTCCGCAGCCTGCGCACCCGGCGCGCCCCTGCTGACGTCACGTTCGCCGAACTGCTTGCCGCCTACAAGTCGGGGTCAACGGGCAGCGCAAGTAGGAGAGAGGCAGTACCTTGGGGCTGCAGTAGCATCTTCGATCCCTGCTCTGGATCAGCGACTCTGCCACCAGGGACAGATACCCCAGGTTGCCGTCCAGCTGAAACTTCGATTCGTCTCGGGCAATGAAGTTCCTTGCCGTCCCCCCCGTCATCCCCCAGTAGATCTCGTTGATGGGCATGGTAGCCTCCTTGAAGCATGTCTTGCAGTTGGCCACGCTCGACGTCAGGGGAGGATGAGTCGACAGCAAGTTGCCCATCACAAACCGACCGAGCATGCGATCCACCATCTTCTGTACCCCATTCCCATCCCCGAGCCTGGCGTGAAGGGACCCTGCCCAGGCGGACGACCACCCAGTGTGTCCACTGCCGCTAGACATCTTGACATCGAGGAGTTTCCTTGCAGCAGCCGTCAGCTCCGGCGACTCATGCCGGTTGATCTGCTCGCCCGGGAACAAACTGAAGAGAGGAGAGAAGTGCCTGTGGCCCTGGTCTGCAACGGAATGAGACCGCATCTTGGACCAGCGGTAGTACTCTTGTAGAACCCCCTCGGCATCGACGGTGGGGAAGCCCTTGTTGGGCAGCCTCGACCTGGTCATGTTTGCCTTGCTCATTAAGTGGCACTTCGCTCTTTGACAGTCGTCCTGAGAGGCTTCATGGCATCCCAACGACAGGCAGCCGTCCAGGTATGCCGAGAAGAGCTCGAAGATCACAGCAGTGTCAATTGCGGGCGACATGGTGATTTGGTAGAACTGCCAACAAGAAACGAGGGTCAGCAACAGGATTCGTGACAACAGCTTGAGCGTCTTACACTCGCGTCGATCTTGAAGCTGTTCTCTGGGGAGTGAGAAGGACCACTGAGCAGACAGCTGTCGTCGGGAGCAGGGATCAGGTACTGCAGGAAGAACTCCACAGCTCCTGAGAGCAATGGGAGCGTCTGCTCGACCAGTTGCGACTTGTCCCTGTTGAACCGATACGAGTCGTACAGGTGTAATGCCATCCATGCGCCGCACACAGGGCACATCGACCACTCGGGCGCTCCGAGTGGCCGAGCGTTCATCCAGATGTCTGTGAAGCCGTGCGCCACCCAGCCAGGGGAGCCGTACATGCACTCCGCCGCGATCTTTCCGTTCTGAGCAAGTTTGGCCATGAAGGGGAAGAGGGGCTCCACAGTCTCGGGGAGGTTTAGGATGTCGGCAGCCCAGTACATCATTTGCATGTTGATGTTCAAGTGATAGTCGCCGTTCCAAGGCGATCTCTCTCCCTCCGCCCATATCCCCACTAGGTTGGCAGGTTGGCCCTGTCCATCAACGTCTCAGAATGCTGGTAAGTCAGAGCACAGTAGGAGAAAGGGGGTCGGGTAAGCTTACCCCTTCGCGCGACGAGGAGATGAGGAGATATTTGCCGAAGTCGAAGAAGAGTTGTTGCAGACCTGTGTCGACCATTCTGACCCTCTCTTTCTTCGTACTGCGAGAGTTGGAGGGTTTCTTGCAGTATCTGTCGTAACGAGCCACTCGCTCAGGAGTAGTCAAGCTCCCATCGCAACTTCTCGAGGAAATACTTCCGTTCATGGCCGTCGCGAGATTCAGCTGAGTCCTGCCAAAGAGCTTGGAATAGTCTTCTTTGTGGGACTCTAGAACTTTCGAGAATCCCTTGGAAAGAGCACGAGTGAGCTTGGCCCTGCAGGAGCCCTCCAGCGTCTGAGGGTCAACAAGGGTAGCATCCCCATCTCTCGAATAGCGAGTCTCTGCTGCAATCACAACGTCCACCCTTTGATAGCCTTCCACACTTATTCTGTTTGGGAGAGCCTTCATGAATCCAGCTTGATTCTTCTCGGGCAAAATCGCTGCACAGGCGAAATAACCAACATTTCCGTACCCGTTAGCGTACAAGTCCAAAGGGTGAAGCTTGAGAAAGCCGTATTCCTCGTCCTTATTGTCAATAACCAACGAATGAAGAGAGGCATTGAAGAGATTTTGATTGGTCCGGGTGAGCATGTAGTCAACTGCCATGCATCCCTGCTGTTTCTCCACGCATTCTTGTCGAACCCAGAGGACTTCGTCTGGCTTACTGGCAAACGCAGTCCTTGAATGCTTGCTCTGAATGGAATGAGAGTCTCTTGCAGTGGATTCGTTGTTATCGCTCGCAGAAGGCTTGCGCTCAATCTCGAAGCTCGATGTAGCCACGGCATTATCTAGCTGCAGCCTACGACTGTAAGCCTTGAGGTCCGAGAATGGAAGGCGCCGAAAATCCATGTCCAGCTGCGCGAGGTATTCGTACGAGCTTAGTTTCGCTCCTGCCGTCAGTCGATCCATCAGTTTTTCTGTTTCCCCAAAGTTCCCTTGAAAAGCGGTCTTTCTGGCGTTTTGAAATGTAAAAAAATCGTCTTCTTTTTTCACGGTCCTCCCTTCAAGCAGCCATGAGATCTCCTTGCTAGGAGAGTCATTCAGCTGACTCCCAGGCCCGCGCAGGAACCACGAGGTGCCTGCTGCTCCCTCTGAAGTCAAGCCACCGCAAGTTGCCATCTCTATGCAAGCTTTCTTGGCTTCGTCAAGGCTCGTGTACTTCTGGTTGGACACCTGCCCTGGGATGAACTTGTCCTGGTGAGGTCCTGTCCATTTCATGGTTGGTGTCGCCTGAGGCACAAGTTCGCTCTGCGTGGAGAAGATCAGATTGAGCAGACGACGTTGAAGCTGGCGATTCTTACAGGTTTCATCTTTAGGTTGTCTGGGCAACCCTCTCCGTGGTAAGGGCTTCCAGTCCAAACCTACGTCATTGTTCAGCAGACGATCCTATGCTAGTAAGCGATACAGCATCAAAACTCAGCTCCATGCGATCCTTCCAGGGGTCAAAGTGCAGCAAGGCACCCAGCCTTCCATTTCCGATCGGGAATGCTACAGCAAGAAAACATCAACTCCGATTTGAAAGACCTACAATTGCACCTGATGAGAAATCTCCCGAAGGAGTGTCCATCCAAAGGATGGGCCTTTCATTGTCTCCCGTTGCCGTCGGGGATCCATAACGAAACAGCTTGAGAGGAAATCGTCAGAGGTCAGAGAAGTCTATCAGATGGAAGCGATTTCGTACATCTTTGCAACAGTCCACCTGAAGACTCGTCAGGAACGTGGGATGACACATGGGCAAGGGGAAGTACCGCGTTCGCTTCCTTGCTCTCTTCCTTGAGGCGATGAATCTCACTGTCGAAGTCTTCAGGGCCGCCAATACCAGAGGACTGCGTCTTCAACCCCGATGTCACGTTCACCTTGGACGAGGGTGTGAACACTGATGACTTGACCCAGCATTGGGAATCCGAATGAACGAATGACCATGCCGTGCAGCTTGTATGATTGGAACAGATGGAACAGCACTCCTCCATGCTCTCAGTTTTCGTGTTCGTCAGATCGCCTCCTGCTATATCCGTGTCACGCTTAAGGGCAAACCCCGCACACGTATGGTTTTTCAGAGCGTTGGCTGCATTTTGAGCCGATGCGTTTTCTTTCAGGGAGAGCATTCCTTTCTTTGAATCTATGGTCTTGATGAGCGGAATGATCCCGTAATGCTGCACCACAATGCTCGCCATTCCCACAAGTCCAATCGCACATATCACGATGGAGCCCCTCCTGAAGCGGTGGAAGAGCATCTTCTTCAGGTCTCCACTCAAGCGGATGCGCGAGGACCTCTTGGACAACATGGCCATCATGTCCTTCATCATGATATCCTATCCTCCTCGCTCCTCCTCCTCCTCCTCTGCCCTCCTTCTGGATTACGGTCCCGCCATGATCCCCCACAGATCAGAGGTAAACAAATGCACCCCTCCTTTTCCCCTGAAACTACCACCCCAGCTTGCCCTTCTCTCAAGGATTGCTGGGGCTCCCACCCCACCTCCTCCTATCCCCCATTACAGTACATCCGGGTAGGGTGGGTACCCGCTGAGGTAGTCAGGTACCCCACCTGGCCTACTATCCATTTACTGGGGGGTGAGCCTATGTCCGTATCTTTTGTCTAAAATACTTATTATTAGCTAAATATATTAATTGCCCTACAATGATATCCTCAAGGATACGTCTGAAATAAAGTGTGTGAGGGAGATGAGATTCTCCCGCGCACTGCCCTTCTGTTTTCCGATGCGGCATGGATCGACGTATAGTCTGCCCAACCCTGGGGGTTTTTTTTT